CAAAAAAGTCGTAGATATTAAGTATGCGATCCACCTTGCGAATACCTGACTGAGCAATAACAATAATAAGCGTCGAGTCGAGTGACCTCATTTTTACGAAACAGTCGCTATTTAATCAGATATTTTTATACCTACACCACTACAAACGCAGACTTCCACTTCCGACTTTCTTGTGGGTCAGATTAAAAGAACACAAAGCTCGATGGAGTTTATACACATTGCGCTATAATAATAATTAACAGTTAAGTATTTAAGAATTCACTTTTTAAATGGGAAGTTCTTCTTTCTTTCTTCATTGTGGTCGCGGTAGATTTACGAAGAAACGAAGGACCGAGATCGAAGAAATGCGCAACCGTGACTTTGGAGGTTTACCTACAATGGATTGTCGTGGCATATTTCACACGCTTCGTACTATCTAAACTCGAGATATCAAAACCATATCGGCGTTATTGAATCAAATGATCTATTGAAGTTCACAGAATTGTGATACAAGTGCTATAACATAATTATATTCACTTTCTCGATATACGGGAGCTATTCTGAAACTTTAACGATGAAAAACTTTATATTTCTTTCAAATTTTTTGAAAAATGTAGTTTGGGTAGCGCAATAAAATTAGAAAGAGAGAAACGTATCCTGGTAAAACTGATCAAGTTAGCATAATTCAAATCCGAAATGACAATTCCTGAAGATCGGCTGGTTTGGAAGGATTGCTAACATGATCAATAATGTCAGCAAAAAACTCTATTAGAAGTGACAAATTATTACAAAACTATACTCTGTTTTTAAACTAGGAGGAGCGAATTGAAAAGACGCATTTACACAGGGAAAAGTAACTAGATTTGTTACTAAGAGCGAGTTTCGAAATATAGTCGTGTTCAAAATTTATGAAATAATTATCTTTATCGGCCTTAGTCGGCGAACGACCAATGAGCGGTTAAGAAACGAATAAATGGTTGTTGATTGATGTCAGAAATACTTTTTTCTTGCTTTTGAGAATAACTATGATCTTTTTAAAATGGATATTAAATATTTAAGAAAATTATTAATGGAATATCCAGATGTAGCCAGGTTAGTATAAAATATAAAGATCTGTTTACATTTTTAAGGATAATTTGTTGTAGGTATAAAAAGTAAAAGTAATCAGTGAATGACAAGTGGATCACACAGTAACTGGTATCTCTTCTATGAGTAATGTGGATATTATGGTTAGTGTTAACCCATGGTTAATGCGCTAGAGGGCAAATAAAGGCATTCAAAAGTTTATAGGCCTATGTTTTGAAAACTGGAACCAACATTTTCATAACACTACATGTCAACATATATTTTTTAAAGTGAACTATTCATACATACCTATGTATTAATTTTAAGTATTTTTAAAATATTTTTTGTGAAAGTAATGTTAACTCATTGTGCCAAATTAAGATTATCCCTAAAGTAGTAGATGGTAGTAAACAGTTTTATTCTATTCTAATAAATAAAATTTGCTTGAATATTTAGTTACATTTTAATCATTTTGGTTAGAAATTCATCAATTTTTAGTTTTAAAAAATCAGTAATAAAATTATTTTTTTCTAAAATACTTCGGAATTCATCTCTTCATGGTAATCTCCCATCTTTTTACCTTCAAAAACCAATAATGCATTTTCAACAAAACCTTCAGAATCAGCATGTAAAATAATGTGTCTTCCCTTTCTTGTAAGGTTTTTCAGGAATTGCTACCTTTAATAGTACTCAGTGTAGAAGGATCCATAATTGTAGATTTTCAATGCAATTGCTTACTGAAGAACTATTATTTACGAAATAAAGTAAAAAACTAAGTAATGGATGAGATATCAAATTATAAAATGTCAGAACTGTCAACAATATCAATTATTAGCTGATGTTCATGCTAAAAAGTAATGTGTGAAACTGACTGTAATCTGACCAATCAGAAGGCTACAGAATTGCCAACTTAAATTCAAATCGCTCCTCTTATGGTGCGTTTGATTTGATCATCGGAGATCTCCGAGCGCTGCAAACGTGTTTGAATTGACACTCCGAGAGATCCCTAAAGTGTTTGTTTTGCTTTGGAGCGAGAACATAGAGCGAGCTCGATGTTCTCAGAGCAGATGGATCGAGAAGAGGGAGAAATTTGTCTTTGTCTCTACCTATCTCCTTTTAACTAACTTACAAACAAATTTGAATCTCTAAATTAAAGACCAGACAAGAAGTCAACAAATTACTTAGCCGCTTTTGTCTTATAGCTAAAATTATTCGTAATAAAAAACACAAAATGTGTGTTTGGAAAATACATTTTCTCTGTCCAGATCTAATCACCAGTAATCACAGGCATGGAGTATGAGAGTGAAGCGGGTATTTGTAGTATATGCTGCATTTCAGGGCCATTACCCCTTATTATTAAAAGTTTTTCCATTTTCTTTACTTTTTGCCCACTATTTTGACACACAAACCAGAAACAAGAATTACAAAAAAGCGAGGTTATGTTTTTTATTCTGTTTTATTTGATTTGATTTAATGCTCTATTGTGACGTCATCACTTCTCGGTCTCCTCGACGCTCGCTCGATCGAGTTTTAAATCAAACGCCCCTTTTGTTTAAAAACAGAGTATAGGTACAGTGATTACCAAAATTTTAAAAAAATTATTTATAACCACTACCATTAGAGCACATACTTTGATTACAATACGAGGCAAGAGAGAGGTCCGACACGCCCAACATATGGTGCGTTTGATTTGATCATCGGAGATCTCCGAGCGAGAGATCCTTAAAGTGTTTGTTTTGCTTTGGAGCGAGAACATAGAGCGAGCTCGATGTTCTCAGAGCAGATGGATCGAGAAGAGGGATAAATTTGTCTTTGCCTCTACCTATCTCTTTTTAACTAACTTACAAACAAATTTGAATCTCAAAATTAAAGACCAGACGAGAAGACAACAAATTACTTAGCCGCTTTTGTCTTATAGCTAAAATTATTCGTAATAAAAAACACAAAATGTGTGTTTGGAAAATACATTTTCTCTGTCCAGATCTAATCACCAGTAATCACAGGCATGGAGTATGAGAGTGAAGCGGGCATTTGTGGTATATGCTGCATTTCAGGGCCATTACCCCTTATTATTAAAAGTTTTTCCATTTTCTTTACTTTTTGCCCACTATTTTGACACACAAACCAGAAACAAGAATCACAAAAAGCGAGGTTATGTTTTTTACTCTGTTTTATTTGATTTGATTTAATGCTCTATTGTGACGTCATCACTTCTCGGTCTCCTAGACGCTCGCTCGATCGAGTTTCAAATCAAACGCCCCTATAGGGTGCGGCCATTTTGAACCCTGTGACACAGTTTACAGCTAAAGAATCAGATCGCTCACTCTGCGTCGGCACTTCTGATATTTCAGTTTATACACATACACTGTGCAACTTGGATAATACAATATATGACAACCGCTTATAATAAAACAGCAGTCTTCTGCGTATCCTGAATTTGTATCCCTGGAGTGGATCTTATTTTGGAACTTTCAACTGGTCCGAGTGAGCTAACTGATTCTTTAGCAATAAACTGTGACTTCAAAAATAATATTCACTGACACTGACAGCAGCAAGCAAAATAACAGGTGTGTTTTAACCATCCGCTTCTGCTTCCGGAATTGTCGGTTCAGTCGTTCTAACCTGTCAGATTAAAACAAGAAAACCGACAATTTCGAAGCAGAAGCGGATGATTAAAACGCACCTATTAAAAATATTGCGCCAAGATGTAGGCAACACGTAATAAGGGTTCAAAATGGCGAAGTTTTCTATCTCCTTTTAAAAGGCACTCAGAAAGCTGCGCAGTGCAACCATTCTCCGTATAGTAAAAGAAAATCAAAGTATGTGGTAAAACGGGATAATATGACAACTTAAATTTCAAAGGCTTACGTTATAATAACCAATGGAGCCAGTGACAATGTGAAGATTGCTTCTTAAGCTATGTTACCTGACATTCTCATTGTCATATACAGGCATTTTCCTTAGATTAGATAACAAATCCAGATTACTGGGTTTACCCGATGGATTACGTGGATCACTGAACTTAGTGGCGACAGTTTACAAACGAGTTGGATTATTGTTCCTGTTCATCTACGTCTGTCAATCTTTGACGTTTCCCCCTTATTTGTTAAAGAACCATTTTAATTAAACATATTTGTAATCTGACTAATAAAGACGCTATATGGGCATACATATTACAAGTTATAACTACTTAAAGGTAGAAAAAACTTCAAAGCTATTACTGGCAGTCACCAAACATCAAAAATGTGCGTTATCCCTTTTTAAAATCCTGCGGTACGGATGTGGATCTATTAATAATCTAGTCGTAGAGTGGGTCACAAAATATAGATCATGATCACAAAGCTGGATCAGTAATCTACTAGTTTCCGAACACGGACAGGGTTAGTAACCATAGGTAAACGAACAATAGTATCCATAATCTTTCTGATCCAAGTAAGTTTTCGAAAACTCTTATGTTACGAGCCAAAATGTCTAATTATGCATGATTGCCATATTACCCGCATCCGCGGGTAATATCGCAACATAAGTTGGTAAATATGGCAACATGCGATTCTCGTAAGAATTAAACCACATTTTAGTGTTTTGAAAGAAAGATTTATTTTTTACTTTCAACACAAGAAAAAGCAGTAAGAGATTTAGTTGGATACAATCTTCACAGTAGGTGCCTGAGGAGGAACAAAGCTCGTGTATCCATTTATAACAGTTCGCATATTACAACCAATCACATTTTGGTTCTTTTGTATCGTAATAGTTTCCTCCACATTGGACACAAAATTCTGACTCATCATGATCCATGTTTGAATCACCGCTCTCTATTATAGGTACTTCTACGTCGCTTTCTGATGAACTGGTATCAGAATTATTGACATTATGTGTCTTCTTTCGATTAGTAGTTTTGTTATTTTGGTCTTTGTCCTTTATATTGTCCTTTTTTTTCCCTTTATTTTGCATGCACTTCAATTTTGCAGCTGCCTTTTGTCTTTAGTTTCTTTTTTCGCAATTATTTCTGGTGATGTAAGTATTTTTGCTTGTTGCTTTCTTTTCTGGCACCCACTTGGCCCAGGTACAACTGGTATTGCTGAAATGTTTTCAAATGGATTTTGGTTTCCAATGATGACTGCGGCGTTATCGTTTATTATGTCCCCATTAATAATATTATCTACGGTATCATTGATATTAGCCTCGTTATTTATGTTGTCTATATCATTGGGAGTAACTTCATTGACATTATGTTGTAGAGTATTGTTCCTAGGAATGATTTCCGCGTTTTGAATGATAAAAGCATAATCGGGAATTTTGGATGCATTAAAAGAATAAACCACAAATTCTAAAATCAGAAACTCCATTATTAACTGTAGCTGCTTTGCCCCATGCAATATTTAAAAGCGAAGCAAACTGTAGTCCATTTAGTTTTTGACCAGGATGGTTATGTATCCAGTTATTACATGCTTGTGCCCAATAGGTCTTTAGAGGGTTAAAAAATTACCTAATGGCTTTAGTCAGTGGGTTGTATGACTTGGTAAACACAACAGGACGACATCGTGGGTTGTAACTATATCTAATAATTCCACGTCTGAACAATGTGAAGAATGACCGTCTAGAATGAACAGTACTTTACCTGGATCCTTTCGTGGACTAAAGTGCTTACGAAGCCATGCTTTAAAAATATGTACCAGGCCAATTTTTCATTCTTGTTTTTTATTTTTTACCTTGAAGATACAATACGGAGGCAGAAAATGACCTTCTTCATTTACACAGGCTATTACCGATTTTTTTTACCTCCCGTACCACCCTAATCCGTCTGTAGTCTGGCAGCACTGCAGCCTGCGGCTTATTGTACCACCATTTGAAGGTCCTACTACTTTCCCATTCACGCCCTCATTCATTCTCATTCATTCCACGCCGTCGATGGATAAAGCTAGTCGGATGGATCCCATGGTGGCACGGCCCATGGTGAAACCTCCCAGCGGTCACCCATCCACGACGTGGCCGGAGACATCACGATTACCGATACGGTCTCGCCTTTCTCTGCACTTGTGACACAATTTACAGTTTTTGCACCTTTAGTTGCAATTACTTTTCCTAGGTTATTATTAAGTTGTAATCCTGATTTATCAAGATTAAATATTTTTCTCGGAGTGTCCAATCAATCATTCTCGTTTAATATTTTTACAAAAGATCGAAGTACCGCCCGCATTCTAGCCATACCTTGGACACGAGCTTTAGACATTCCTTGAGCTTTGCGAATCGACAACTCTGGATGCCTTTTTATAAACGAGCAGAACCAGTCATGACCAGCTTGTTTTTTGTCAACATTAAAGTTATTTGGGATGATTTTCTGAATTAAAAATGAAAATGCAGTCTTTTTCATATCAACTGATATCAGTGCAAACCAGTGTTTTTCCATGTCTTGAATGCATTTCATCTTCGTGATCTGAACCCAGACAGCCTTTGCGTCCTATTTTTCTTTAATATAAATTATCGGGCCGTAACCTTCTCATTAGAGTGTATGACTGATTAGTCTGACTGACCCTCTACCACTTCTAACATCTGCTATGGCATTTTATAGGTCTTCTTCGGACAATAAAGCCCTCAGGTTTTTTCGTCACGATCACCACTAAAACAAAGTAATAACATGCGAGATTTTTGAAGGGGGTAATATGGCGGACTGTAGGGTTTTATGCCGCAGTTAAAAATATTAACGCGTATTACCCCACATTGAATCTTACTACTTTAATAGATCAAAACACGCATATTACAGATCTAAAACGGTCTCGACCGTTAAGAAAAGATAGGTTAGGATTAATGTTTTCGCATATTGTTATTAGAAAGTTTCGTAAGTCTTGAACTTCTTTTTTAAAGGTACTTACCTCTTAGACTAGCTTAGTCTAAGACTTACCTTGTATGCTGATTTTACTCACTAAAAATTGTTAATAATTCAATTCAATAGTGACCTACACGTGCTTGCTAACTCTCATCAACATTCTGAAATGAACACTACTACCAACAGTCAGTGTAGAAGGAAAATACCGAACTGCGGCAAATTACACAGCGCGTCATATCCCAGTTTACTCTACTGAATTCTTTGAAGTTCGCTAGCAGAAGAGAATACAAATTCCTTCGTAAAATGTGCCGGTATAGTCTCAATCACGAATTAAAAGCACGTTATTTTATGCAGAATTTACATTAAATATTTTGCAATTGACTATTTTAAAATAGAAGGTGATTTGGTGCAGAATTGAATAGAATACTTCGTATTGAAAAAATTCAATATATGAAAATTGTAACGGTTGGAACCGTTTTCGTTATTTGACCCAGACATTGTAACGGTTGTAACCGTTTTCGTTATTTTGAAACCACCATCTCTACACAAACGTCATTTGTCGTTTATGCCTTGTGTCAAAACCCGGGTTGTCATTTTCGATTTACCTCTGTCATCGAGCAAGTTGATTATTGAATTTTAATTATCTTTTATCTTGGACATTTGATGTACTAATTATCTTAAATATTTTTAATGACCGTCTGATTTTAAAAAGGTAAGTTTCCTACCGATATTTTGTTGAAAATATATATTTAGTACAAGAATTTCTTTATTAAAATGTTAAAAATTTTAAGTTGATATTATTTTTAGTTTTTCAGTTAGGACTGGTGAAAGACTGCCTAGAAGATCTGGCAGAGTTAAGTAGTGAAAACAAGGTAACCCTAGCCTAGGTGATACTAGGTGATACAAGGGATATCAGGGCAATGAAAAGCTCGTCGAATTAGCTCGAGAAGGCTCAGGTAGGGCCATAACTGGCCCCGAACCCTTCTTGGAGTTGCTAGGGCATTGTGCAAGGCATCCATCAAACAATGGATGCAAAAAAGTCTAAGGAATGGTGGAACAACTATCCAAGACTAAGACAGAACAAACAGTTCATCAATGAACCATCGGCCAAATTCATGAAACACCTACTGGATCAAAAACGTCAAATCGTTAGGATAACAGTAGGTCTTCTTACCGGATACTGTCGCAGAAGAAGCAACTTTGTGCAGGTTCTGTGAAGAAGAGGAAATATCAATCCACGTCCTGTGCCAGTGCGAAGACCTTGCTTGAATGAGGTTTTTAACATTGGGCGAAAGCCGGAGAGGCTAGCCGCGAGCTTAGTGTGCGTCCACTTACAACAGTTAAGCAGTGATCTTTCTGGTCACGTCGTGGATGGGTGACCGCTGGGAGGTTCCACCATGGGATTCATCCAACTAGCGTTTAACCATCGACGACGTGGAATGAATGAGAATGAATAAGTGTGTGAATGGGAAAGTAGTAGGACCTTCAAATGGTAGTACAATAAGCCGCAGCAGGCTGCAGTGTTGCCAGACTACAGACGGATTAGGGTGTTGCACGGGAGGTCTGAAGGGTGTGTGTAAAACTAAAAAAAAAAAAACATTGGGCGAAGAAAAGCCAAACGCATGCAATTACATGCGAGAGTCACTGTCAAAGCTACTAAGTCTAATAAAAAAGACCAAGCTAGACGACATACTCTAAAAACGGAGTCCCACAATAGATCTGAAAAGGTCGCAGTGGACAAGAACAAATAATGTCCTACTCCTTCTAAATCTACTCTAATCTAGTGGGAAATACTAATTATACGACTTTTATATAATAATATTAAATACACCGCTCCGTATTAAATAATAATGAAATGTCAATTTTCTTAGTGTACACTTGTCCAAATGGCATAATGAAAAGCAATAGAAAACGACTTACATTCGTTACACAATATCTGATCGCGGTTTTTAAAAAGTGATTTTCTTGTGCAGTTGCCCACGCTTTGATGGAGACGCAGATAAAAATGGTGATTGCCTTAGGTTTCTAAGGGCATAGTTAAAAGTTGAAATGCTTTCATAAACTCACATTTGATATTATCTTAGTCGCAGATAGCTATGCTTGAAAAGCTTTTCTCAGTTACCCAGCAATTCTCGCTCAGTCTTGTGTAACCAAACAAATGAACAAAGAACTCATTTTTACATTTTAAACACTCTTTATTTTTTTATGTCATCCTGAATCGTAAATGCTGTTTAACAATGATCATGTCTACAGGACGATTCATTAATCGTCATCTAAGCGTAGCTAAACTCGTAAAAGTAATCGTAAAAGAAATTAAACAATATGTAAACAGAAGCAGGTACTAGTAAATAGACTTACCGCAAAAAGGTATGCCCTCCGGCATCCATAACCCATTTTGACACACCCTTCGCGAAGGACCCAGCAGTTCGAATCCACGTTCACATGAGTACGTGGCAACGCTGCCCGGGCCTAAATCTTCATCTGAAAATACGATGGAAGAGTGCGCAGGAGCGCCTGGGAACCTGCATGCCGCTTGTGATTCCCCGTTTATTTCTAGAAAAAAAAAATGGAATTAGTTCAAATATTTTAGTCAAATAAGTACAATATAAATTAATTTTCTTAAATACACGACACTGTCAATAGAATGCAGTTTCCAGCCATGCTATTAGGCGCTACCAGAGCTGGGTAATTCCTAGTTAAAAAGTAATTATTAATTACAATTACATATTTTCATGTAATTTGTAATTGTATTTAAGTACTTTTTTCTCGAAGTAATTTGGAATTGTAGTTGCAGCAAAATCTGCGGAGGAATTGTACTTTGTAATTATATTAATTTATATTATTTAAATTTTCTTTTCCAATTACAAAAACTTTTTTCCAATTACAATTACATTTATAAGTACAATTACTTTTGAATGCGTGTTTATGAGATGCATGTGATATAAAAACAAAAATTTCTTGTTTGAACCCGTCACTAGAGCTCGGACTCGCATCCATATCATTTGTTTGAATGCATTTGAGGAAAGCGTTGTGCCGTGAAGCAGTGAAATTCTTCAACCCAAAATAATAACAGTAAGAGGCAAGTAGATGCAGATATCCTTATTTCTAAGACGTATTTTGTATTTATATTATTATAATATTATAGACATAATTTATGTTGCATAAACATAAAATATATTATGAAGTGGTGCAAATAGTTTGTATGGGATAAATACTAAAAAATGCTTATTTACGTTGTATAGGTATTTCTAGTTATTATTGTAATTTTTTACATTGAAATGTGGGCGTAAAAAAAATATATTTTTCTACACCTACAGGGATATTAGCTTATCTACGCACAGATTAAAAAAGGAAAAGTAAGCTATTGCGTTCAAGTGAACGAATATATTTCATATCTATTCTTAGTAATGAGAACACTGCAAAAAAATTAAATCCACCAATCACAGTTCATATTTTGGATACCAAACTACTATTATTTTTAAAATTTTAAATAAGTGATAATTATTCTGTCAAACTAATTGTCAGTATATTTTTTAGTTATTGAGATTAAATATACACTAAATGAGTTATTTTTGTTTAGAATCGATAAATATTAACATTTTTATTTTTATTTGAGCCACAATTTGAAAAAAAAAATGAATCAAACTATATGAAACTAGTTTAATGACGAGTATTAAAACCAAAATCATAAAAGTGGCGGTGGAGCTGAGGACAGAGCATCTACCTTCCATGCGAATAGCCCGGGTTCAAATCTAGACAATGAACTAATTTTCTTTTGTTTATTTTATTTTATTTTATGAGTAAGTAAAAAACATAAATTATTTTAAAATTAGTTATTTTGCCTTAATAACCTAAAATATTATAGATTTTCGTTAGTGGGTCGTAGAAAAAATATACTGTACAACTCTTGTTGCACAAACTACTATTTCAGTTAAAGTATAATTTGTCAATAACAATAACACATTATGCAGGATAATTTACCACGCCTCTGACGTTTATAGCGAATCGATAAAGTTTAAAAATGGCTCCTATTTTTTAAGTATACAGGGTGGACCGGATTTAATTTGCGTATACAGAGATCTCGTAAATCGTAAGATATACATTGTCGGTTAAATGGGAAAAAGTTTCGTATTTCGACGGATAATACAATGGTCCATAGAAGTTTCAGATTTTCTACCTGGTTCCGGAGATATTCGATAAAATCCGAAAAACCTCATTTTCGTTTTTTAAGTCGTGCGTTGTTATTATAAAAGATACAAAAAAAAAATTATACGAAGTTTTTCTTATAAATTAAGTTTCCTATAATCTGCCATGTCAAAATTTTTATTACGACGTTTCGTATTTGCAGGGCCACCTTCAACTTATTTTTTTAAAAACGGACCTGGATTTTTAACTGTAATTTTTTATAGCTTTTGTATAGCTAAATACAACTTTACCAATTTACTACGTTTCGTCTATGAAAATATCATCAGCTATGTAGCTTCTGATGATACCGTTTCTTACTTGATTAAAACAAGATAGCTAATTAAATAATAATTAAAAAATAAAAAATGCCTAAAATGTAAAATTTTAAATAATATTTGAAACATAATACAAGAATTATTTAATTACAAAATGGGTTACAATTTTTTATCAAACATGATTAAGTACAACCAGCAAACAAGACTAATGAAGAACGAATTATGGTTGTACACATTCTACAAATAATAAAGCTAATAACAAAAATATAAAATGAAAAACAAACTGGTCAAGCAATCTATAAATTCCTATCACCTGATTTTCTGTAAAATCTTTCGCTTAGGTTTCTCACACCGTATTTTTTCTATTTTTAATGTTTTCATTTTTGCATACATAAGAATCTTAACAAAATCATGTTTGCCATACATGTCAGTTGTAACTTGTCACCAATATTTCTGTTATAATCTGTAACATCTAATATTACAGTACTTTTTAGATTTAAATAATTTAAAATTAAATAAATATTATGGTTCGTTATACTGAAGAAGAGAAGAAAGATATGTATGACGTGTACATAAGATGCTATAGGAATGAAACCCGGTCAGCTCAGGCTTATTTAGATTTATATCCTGATAGACAACAACCATCTAAGAAGATGTTTTCTTATATTTCAAAAAATATGGAGTGTGAAAAAAAAGGAGAACTAGATATCAGGTTCGACATACTGATAATGAAATTAATGTGCTTGCCCAAATACATATTAACCCTGAAAATTCTACTAGGCGAATAGCTAAAGAATGTGTAGTAGGAACCTACCACGGGTATAAATTTCAAAAAGTCCAGAAATTACACGCTGGAGACTCTGATAGAAGACTAATGTTTTGTCGTTGGTATAGTAGAAAACTGCACAATGACCGTTCTTTTAACAAAAATATATTATGAATGAATGAATGCTCCTATACTAATAGTGGAATATTTAATCCCAGGAACAAGCATTTGTATGCTACTTTTAATCCCCATTTAATCAGAAAAGTTAGACCACAGTTCCGTTTTACCCAAAATGTGTGGTGTGGACTAATCAATAATCAGATTATTGGGCCGATTTTTTTGGATGGTAATTTAAATCAGTTCCGATACCTACATTTATTGAAGGAAGACAAAATCTTCAATACCTTATGCAAGACGGTTGTGGTGCACACAATGCTAGGAGGGCTGCACACTATCTCAATATTTTAGAGGTAATTGAATTGGTACCAATGGACCAATAAGATGGCCTCCTTGATCTCCGTGTCTTAACCCCATGGATTATTTTGTATGGGGCTTCGTAAAGCACCAAATCTACGACAAAAATATGCCAAATAATCTACAAGAACTTCGTCAACGAATAGTAGATGCATTTGAAAAAAATTTCCCCATTTAACCGACAATGTATATCTTACGGTTTACTAGATCTCTGTATACGCAAATTAAATCCGATCCACCCTGTATATGATGAGGAAAGCCTCCTGTTTAAAATTATTTTAAAATATATACTTAGTATGTCCCAAAAAAATGTGGCGTATCAAAGTTTTGCGGCACACCCTGTATTTTATTAATTTTTTAGATTCTCCCTGAATAACTAATTTTATTGATCTATCAGACTTGATTTGTTAAAAAATAGAGATTTTTGAATTTTGAAATTTTTCTGTCAAAACTATTCATAATAATAATTGATCAAAATGGCTAACTAATTCCTTCCTATCCTATTTCTTTTATGTACTACCTCGTAATATTTAATTAAAACAAATACGAGGTGGTCAAAAATTTAGATTAAATAAAATATAAAAGTACCTAGGCGTAGGTACACGAACTTTTGTATTTTTGTTGAAAATCAATAAACTTTTAAAAGTTCACGTTTTATTATTTACTTACGTGTTCCATTTTTTATACTACTTATCGATTTTGTCATTTCCCTTAAGTTAAGAAGAACTTAAATGGTACAGAAAACAATACACTTAGGGCTGGTTGTATAAAGCTTACTTAAAATTAAGCTCAGTTTTAGGTGATATATGTGAATTTCCGATGCTAATTGTGCAGTCTAATGTTTGGGGAAACAAGCCCTAAGTGCTAAGTAGTATTTAGACTGTACCTATGACATACAAAATTTGTCATGTGTCACCTCAAACCGAGTTTAACTTTAAGTAAGATTTATACAACCCGCCCTTAAGATACCTTTACGTTTAAGGAATCCTTAAGAAAGTCGTTGCAAACAGCTGTTAGTTTGACACTTTAAATTAACTATTTAAAAATCTGATTTGTACCGGTCCGGTTGGTTCATGGTTCCTCAATTCTATCATAATTTGTTGTTTTATCGGCAAAGTATTTAGAAAAGTAACTATAAAAGTAATTGCTAATTCCTTTTTTCATGGAATTGTAAATAAATCATTAAAATTCATATTTTTACAACATGTAATTTGTACTTGTAATTAATTTCTTTTTTGAAAAAGTACTTTGTAATTGTAATTACCCAGCTCTGAGCGCTACCATCGCAATAGCATGAAAGTGATGTTGCCAGTTTCCATAAAATTTCATGATATGAGAGTTATTTCAATCCTGCACCATATTATACATATTTTTGTCAAGCTAATTGGTAATTATGTACCAATTTTATTAGATAGTGCACCAGTTTAAATTTACCATCTCAGAGTCAGATTTTAGAATATGTTTAGGCTGAAGCACAAACAGCAGCATAAGATAGATTACAAATAACGAATTATATTATATTCTAGTTCAGTAATTTGTATAAAAAAATATAATTGTCTGTTGATAATTAATACCAATATTAAATTAAATCTAGTTGTTCTTTTTTATATTATATTATTTGTAATATTGTGTTTTATTAAAATTACTCGTTTTAAATAATCCAAAACAACCCACTCTCAAGGTTTCTTTTTGTGGGTGTTTCTGTTTATTTACTTCGAACGAATTTACATACATATACGTTGATTATTTTTTATATTTTTTTGGCAAATACATTATTATTGAATTATAATAAATACACAAAACACTAAAAATATTATATTTTATTAATTTCATGTGGTTAAATTTGGCTTGCATCTTCTTTTTGGTGGTCTTATTTTATAGCCTAAACAAACACCCGTCTTTTGATTGGTAAAATTTTAAATGTATTTGAGATTCACCAATGAAAAGGTTTAAAATATCTATGGAAAAAACCAATGAACTGGAGTGTGTTAGAATGATAATGTGTATGTTGTGTTAATAGGGCTTGGTGTGACTCTATTATTGCCTGGATTAAGATTATTTAGAGTGGAATAGAAAATGGTTATTATATAATTAGTCCTAAGTGAGAAGAAAAATAAAATAGCTGCGCCCATAGAGTCGTTTTATACAATTGTTTTCGCACCATGTAAAGAACTTAAGTAGATTGTTTTTTATTACCAACCCTAAGTATATCCCTAGGCATACTATCGTGATACATATATTACAACACCAGGACAGGGATTCTTATGTGCGAACTCAACACGTAACGAATGGAATAGAGAGAGACATTACATAAAAATCGCATTCTGTGGATAGAAGATAGGCGTCTCAACACGAGCGGTATTGAAAGATGAAAATCCCAATGCTGATCAAAAGACGTACAAAGTGTAAAGTAGCTCTAATTATTCATAACTCCTACAAGTCCATAATATGTATAACTTTTTATAATCTGATAATTATATTAGTTGATGTTATTGAGTGAGCATTTCGGTTATATACTTTAGTTACGTTAAATATGATGAAGTAATTTACGAGGTCATAGGAAACGCAAGCTTACCCGAATGACGGCGGTGATTGGTTAAGCATTTTTTATACATAAAAATTACCTACAATAAATGTGTCATGTCAAAACCGTTAGGGAGATAAGTGTCAACATGATTACAATCCATCTAGGATGCAATATTATTAGACAAAACAATTTTCCTTTACAAGTAATTGCTTTAACGATGCACTGGTACCGTCGTGTGATATATTATCGTTACGTGGTCCACTAGTGCGAAAAATATTTTTGCTGTACCGTACCCTACATTTTTTCAAAGTACGTCTGTCTCTTCATAATCGGTTAGTGGCTATCGAAATATTATACACCGTAGACAATTTTTCACAGGGACATCATTACCACCAATGAGGTTGGTAGTATGGAAGGGATATGGTATACACATTGTTTGTTCTTATCATAAAATAGAATACTGGACGGTACATATACGCCATTTTAGTGTGACGTGATTTGAGTTCCACTGACAGTTAACTGTTAAATAAACTTTTAACAAAACAAACCATTCCTCTCTTAGGCTGGAAATAATTCATCCCATTCTCGTATTAGTAATATGAAATCCAAAATTTTCTTTTTTATATCAGTAATTTCATCTCTCTTTAATTATGTTTTCTATATTTGTAATTCAAAATACAAAAATTGTATTTCCCATGTTCATGTTATGCTTACGTTTTGCATAAGTATAGAATGTTTTGTAAATAATTACTACCGTTGCTTTTTTGGTAACAATGCAAGCCATATTATATAAATACTAGTGTACTGGCTTGTAAAAATAATGAATATCAAAAATATTTGCACTCGTTGCTAGTTATGAAATTTACTAATTGAAGACACTGGTTCAAAAAGGAGGCAGCTCCATTTTATAGCAATTTTTGTTTTATAGTGGAATATACTAATAAAAGGACGTTCTATCGATTGGTGCAAGAACGAGGCAGCTCTGTTGGTTTGTACTGATGTTATACGGAATATATTGACGTCCCCTACTTCAATTCGGTGCAAAAAGGAGACAACTCCGTAGCTACCTCTTTTACCTCATATTGTTGCCGCTCTGAGACAAGTTTGATATTTTTTATTAATCATTACGTCGATGTTGCTTGTGTTCTACTGCTTTTTGTCCATGTTGAATGCAGCAGCTCCGCCAGCGCTTATATTTAGAACGAATATGCTCTTCAAAAAGCTGTAGTAAATCTGACTGTACCCAGTTTTGACTTACACATCTACCTGGGCCTTTACCACTCAAGCGCCCTAAATATCTGCATTTAAAATAACTAACAAAAAATAGGTCCCTGCTGATTGTAAAATTAGGGTTTTTTTATTTAAAAGTGTATTAGTTTAGGGACTGACACATTTCAGATTACTTTCCTATGTGAAAAGGAGGCAGCTCCCCAACTATTTTGTCGTACTTTAAAAGTTGATTATTTGGACCCATTATATATTTTTTACTAAACTATGTACCACCTAATGTTGACAAAAAAAATAAACATCAATATTTTAAAATTTAAATAGTTTTTTACCTTGTCCTAAAAAAATTATAAAAATAGAGCTACCCACTTTTTATACCAGTATCTTCAATCAGTATAATATTTTTATAGAGAAAATACTATCTTTTCAAGTTCAGTTATTTACTCACATTCAAGCACTTTAGGGCGACATTTTGTCATTTTTCATTTTAAAAACACGGGTTAAAAACAATACAAGGAGCAACCGGAGTTGATGTGCTGTAAATTGTAAAAATACTAGCAAAAATAAAACAGTGTAAATTTTATAATTTCCCATAGCAAAATGGAAATTGAATCAAAGAAATAAATGGATAGATGATGCTGTAAGAAGGGAAGTACTAGATATCAAAATCTTTATTTCAGTAATACTGGAAATAGTAGACATCAGAAAATTAAAATGTTTTAAATAAACGATTAGTAGTTATTGCTTACATATTATTCAGTTAATTTCTAATAAAATGGGTAGTGGAAATTGGCAGATATAATAATTAGGTTATGTTACAATTTTGTAGCATTTTATAGATTAAAAAATAGTTTATATTCATTATTATTAATACATTAATGGTATATTATTAAAATATACTATTTTAAAAGGCAGGATTACCAATAAAATCCCAGATTGCGCAGTGTTTGGCTGTAAATTCTTAAAAAACAGAGTGAAACAACAAAGTATTTCGGACTTCCAAAAAGGGGCATAGCCAAAGCCCGGATTAAAGTTGGACTATGTTTATTTAAAAAGAACCAAGCGCCAAATTGGAGTTTTGAGATATTAGGGGTTAAAGATGATAATGCTTTATTATAATAATGAGTATAGAGAACTCCAGCTTTTTGAATTAGTTTCAGATAGTTAATATGTTATCATAGGCATAATTTTATAAGTTTATTAGGCTACCTAGAAACATGAGTTTGAAGATATTTTTGGTAAATGGTTCCATTTATTAAAATTAGGAATTTACGTTTTCTAATGTGTCCTTTGGTTTATTGGCAAACAGATGGCACTAGAGTAGACCCTAGTCATTGAATCTTTTTATACAAGGTAAATTAAACCTGCCTCTGTCGCTTGACGCCTTTAACTCATTTTTACCAATTTGTCACTTGGTTCCTTTTAGATAAGCATAGTCCAGTTAAGAATGGTTTGTTTTTATTTATAATAATTTGTTTGTACTATCTTGTGATTTGTTTCCTTTTTAGCTTGTATTTGTTTGATACATTTTATAAAGGATGGCTTTGAAATAAATACCTATGCAATAGAGGTTGTTAATTATTCTCCTAAAACTGGAAGAAATTTGAATTCAACCGCAGTACCTACAGAAAGTTTTCCAATAAAAGAGGCATTTTCTGCAAACAAAAAGTGAGAATATGTTAACAAGGCAAGTAAAAAGCATTCGACACACATTTGTTGATAGTGTTACACAGCACCCTGTAGCGTGCTGCGGTCGTCATAAGTAAAGGTACGAGTAAATAAATAAAATAGAATAATCCAGAAATGTCTCGAAATGTCATTCCTTGTCAAAGAAAAGTCCGGATTGTTCGAGAAGGGTCAAGCAAGCTATATAAGGATGATCCTGACATCAGTTTTCAGTTTTATGATAGACGTTATCCGTTAAAGTTATCAGTTGTATAATTATTGTTATAGTTGAGTTAAAATAAATTAAGATATCAAAAACCTGTATAACATTGGTGACAGCGGTGGGATTTAAAATAAAGTTACCCAAGCTTTTATGGTAAATACTAGATCCACTGTACGCGGGACCGATATGGATACTTCCACCAGCATGGTTTTTGAAGATGGAAGAGGAAGAGGAAAGGCATAGGAAGGAAGAAGAGGAGGAAAAGGAAAGGTGTAGGAAGGAAGAAGAGGAGGAAAAGGAAAGTCGTAGGAAGGAAAAAGAGGAGGAAAAGGAAAGGCGTAGGAAGAAAGAAGAGGAGGAAAAGGAAAGGCGAGACGAGGAAAAGGAAAGACGCAGGATGGATGAAGAAAAAGAGAAGGACGAGAGGCGTAGAAAAACTGAGGTAGAAATTATAAATGCTTTGCTACAAATCCAGGAAACCTTTAAACAAGAGGTTGGTCAGCTTAAAATTAGAGTAGATTTGTTAGAGCAACAACAAGAGCATTTAAAAACTAATTGAGAACAGCAGCAAGAGCATTTAAAAACTAAATTAGAACAACAACGAGATAATTTAAAACAACAGGAAAAGGCTAGAGTAGAGTTCGAAAGGCAAATTAGAACTGAACTAGTTGAGTTAGAAAGAAGAATTCGTAGCCTAGCTTCGATAAGCAACAGAGAAGCTGAAAACACTACCTCGCCCTCATCTGTAATCGAACCAAGCCATATTCAACACCCAGTTTCACAATTCCATACTAGCAAGATCATTAAGCCACCCACGTTTAACGGTCAGACAACATGGGAAACGTATCGCCTCCAATTTGAAGCTGCAGCTAGAGCCAACGGCTGGGCTGAAAAGGAGAAGGCGGCTGCATTGATAGTGTCGCTGCGAGGACAAGCAGCAACCGTTTTACAGTTACTTCCTCAAGAAGAACCCAATTATTCATCTCTCGTCCAAGCTTTGGCCAGCAGCATTTGAAACGGGTATTTCAAAGCCAGCTAAAGATTCGTAGTCAGAAACATAATGAGAGTCTACAGGTATTCGGGGCTGACATAAGAAGATTGATTCATCTGGCCTATCCACGGGCGCCCAAAGATTTCCAAGATCAAATCGGAATAGAGGCGTTCATTGATGGACTACAAGATGCGGAAATGCAGCAAGTCCTTCGTCTACAACATCACAAGACGCCGAAGGAGCAACTAATTGCAGCCCAGGAATATGAAGCGGTAAAACTCATATCCAGATATTCTCGCGCAAAAATGAGAGAAATTAAATCCCAGGAAAGTGAGGACCCCAATGCTAATGCTATTCCCCAACCTACCCTCTCGCAAATATTAAATATCCTGCAAAATATACAACGAAATAGCCAAAATAAGAACAGAAGATGCTTCAATTGCGGAAGAACCGGGCACCTTCAAAGAACCTGTAGAAGCAGAGCTCGTTCTATAAATAGAAAATCAGGGAATGAGGCCGCAAAGTCGCAAAGATCAATCTTCCGAAGTCCAACAAGAAAAAGTCACAGCAGCTATTCGGGGCGCATAACTAGAGAGGAGGGAGCAATGTTACACAGCACCCTGTAGCGTGCTGCGGTCGTCATAAGTAAAGGTACGAGTAAATAAAGAAGATAGAATAATCCAGAAATGTCTCGAAATGTCATTTCTTGTCAAAGAAAAGTCCGGATTTTTTCAAGCAAGCCCTATAAGGATGATCCTGACGTCAGTTTTCAGTTTTATGATAGACGTTATCCGTTAAAGTTATCAGTTGTATAATTATTGTTAAAGTTGAGTTAAAATAAATTGAGATACCAAAAACCTGTGTAACAATAGCTTTATTTCGAAACAATATTGTCAACTGCAGACTACGACAAGGAGAACCAAAGTTTTGAAGTAGTCAATCAAAATATTTAATTATCTCCAGAATAGAAA